TAGAAAGTAAACGTTATGAAAGTATTTAGGAAAAAACACCGCGTATATACTGTTTATCATGACTCTGGTTTTACGTGGCCTATCAACACAGTTTAAAAACTCGTATATAGCACCTTGTTGCTTTGTCATCTTGAAGTGATCAAGTTTCTTGTTAGTAACGGTAATGGCATTGTAACGATAGTAATTAGTTCGATTACTTGTTACTGAAAAAAGTAACACCGTTATTCCCATCACTGAATTTAACTGAATATATATGTTGAAGTCTGACATTGATCCTTGATCATATTTGCACCCTAACACAATACTGAAACAGCAGCGAGGTCACTGCTAAAGTGCAGTAAGACTTCAGTGGTATTTCTGCTGATACACAGCAAATTACTAATAACACTTTAAACTATTGTGCCTCTTTATGTATGGCCAGGATGAATGTTGTGATGATGCTGTTTTAAATATTTTTAACCTTTTTAACCTTACCATTAAACATTAGGATTCTAACATGTAAATAACAAGAGGCAGCTTCGCATTAAAATCACAGGTTTATTCATTTTATTAAATCAATATTAAAAATGTAGAATTTTTTTGTTTTTGTTTGTTGTTGTTTTAATTGTATGATATTCTGCCTCCAACTGGTCTGGATCATATCTGTAAAGGAGAGTCCCACTCAGTCACTCCATCTACAAAAGAAAAAACCAAAAGCAATAAGTGAATAAATATAATGAGAAAAAAAAAACATAACAAACTTTTATACTCACTTATTTATTCATTCAAGGTTTTCTACTTAATATGCATCGTTGTCGTTTTATGGTCAACCATAAATTAAGGACATTTCAACAAAATTTCTCAGAAAACTCGTGACTTTTCTATATTGGGAAGATGGGATGTACCACAGTGAGAGGAGCCTGGTGGAATAGTCCAAGTGCAAATATCTTTAATCTGAAAAGTCAACATTTGTTTTCAGTGTCACGTTTCTAAGCCCTTACATGCCTTGACCTTTGCAAACAGCTCAAATGACTAACTCTGAAAGCAAAAGTAAATAGCTGGTGAAACACCCCCAAAACAGAAAGTTTAAAAAACGTACAAAGCATAACATGTCCCGTTACAGTGACTCAAAACGAAACTCACGGGCAGAATAAAAGCTCAGATGGGGACGCAAACTGTGGTTTTCTGGATGACACAGCTGTAAACCCAGATGGTGTTGGACATCCTCTGAAGCAAAGACGTGTACCTTTGTCTTTACGTCGAGGCAGCAGGAAATCACACCAAGAGACAGGTGAAAAGCATAAATGTGTTATTTTATATGTGGCAGACTTCAGAACACTTCATGCACATCCAGAGTGAGCTAAGGAGTTTCTTTTATATCTGTTTATATGTGACCAATAATCAAATTTGATTTGATTAAATGACAGATTTTAATGCATATTTCTTCAGTCAAAATGTGATTTATGCGCTGACTTTTGATTGATTGATTGATTGATTAGTAATTTATTTCAACATGTGAACAATATACAAGTACATTTAGAAAAGAAAATAAGAAAGAAAAAAAAATACTGTACAAATTACATACAAAAAAAATTATTAATTTACATGTTGAAAGGGAGTGGGAAGAAGTAAACACTTATTTAATCCCACCCCTTT